CCTCAATGCACTTTTAAATCTAGCAGGGGTGAGACGGCTGAAACTAAATTGGGAGCAGTTTTCGGAGCAGGGAAATTTCAATTTTACAGAACTTTGCTTTGGAGCAGTTAGCGGCATTTAATATGTCGTCCTGGGATGTTGAAAATACAAAATTTTAACAACGTGGGGGCACGAGTGCATGTTTTAATTTATCTATAATACACATAATACTGAAACAGATTTTGAGCGAAGTTTTTAAACAGATTATCGCTAGTTATGAACTGCACTACCTTTTTCCATACCCGGTGACCTATGTAGCGCTCCCAACATATTAAATATTATTTTAAAAAGGTTTTGCTGAAAAGTAGGTTCCCCAGAAGAATTTAAAAAATGCATCACACTCAAAAAACAATTCAAAAATTGTGATTGCACAAGAATTTTAGTTACGTAACTGTGGTCATTCGCTTAAAAAAAAGCCTGACATGATAGCGACAAGAGCTTTTAGCAGACAACAAAAGCACGCTGCACTGCCGTTCGTAGGCACCTCGTGCGGGACTACCTTCAAGAGTGCACCGCGGGAGCCAAGAAAACTCGCCACACCAACTATCTCGTAAAGCGCATGCGTATGGCACTAAGTGATAAGCGAACGATACTGATAACGCCTCTACAAGCGAGCAACCATGCATTATTAATACGGCACACGCTAGTCTGTCCTATATATTTCTTTAATATCTACACGTTATCACTGTTGATGTAGAGCTCTCAATAATACATCAACTTGCGATTTCCGCCTGCACCACTCCTCGACTCATGTAAAGTGCTCATGTAGCGCAGGTAAGAAAATCCCTGTCCATGCAAACGAATTGCCGAACATAGAGAGGCAGGTTTTATTGCAAAGAAAAGAAAGAAAACGAAGTCACAATGCCGCCGACCAAAACACCGATAGAGACAAGCCTAAAGCTCGTGTAGCCCAGGGCTGGCACGCATTCGGTGACGCCTTTTTGTTTCGATTACAAAACAGAGCAGTTGTTAAGCACTAATCGTAAAAACTGTGCCAAGTGATGCCGACGTGCCATGAGTCACGAATAAAGCCCCAAGGTGCTCGTTAATATCGTTTACAGTGATCTAACCACCCGTTCTGTCACCAGGGCTTCGCATGTAACTGTTTCTCTCTACGTGCAGACACCGTTGTACGGATTTCACGTGTGATGGCTTTATTAAATACTAAATGCAATTATAACTCGCTTGTCTAAATAAATTAGTAGCTAATGGGCATAAACCATGAACCCATTTTGAGAACCCACAAGCACGCGCCAGAGCATCCAGGAACGCGTCGGATGCAAGGAAATAACTCCACGTTTACAGTTACTCCCTCAGAGCAAACGTGCACTCGTAGGTTACTGCACATAGCAGCGTGCAATGGGGAGACGCTTTTTTATGGGGAGGCCATGCACAGAACGTGGGCCGGAGGGAGCGCAGTTCAGATACATGACTGCACTCTTCAACTTATTTATCCTGGCTCCGCTCACCCAGTCGTACCCCCCCATAACATCCAAGACTGTGCAAACAGTTGCCTCATCCTGGACGACAATAAAGAGGTCATCTGCATAGGCGAACATTGCCAACGGAGGCGAACCTGGCAGAAGGGGAAATCTATTAATGCTGGTGTCTTTAGAAAGCCTCTGCAAGAGCGGCTCGAATGCGAGCATATAGAGAGTGGGCGAAAGTGGATCATCCTGCCCGACTCCACGGCACACACCGAAAGGCTCCGAGACGTGATCTTGTATGACAACAGCAGAACTAGGACGAAAATAGAGAGCCCCGACCATGCTAATGAACTTAGCACTGAAGCCTGCCTGCTTTAAAACTTTAAAAAGGTGCTTATGACTGATAATATCAAACGCCTTCTCTTGGTCGAAAGAACAAAGAATTTCACGCAGGTTGCGTGAGTTAGACCAATCTATGAGATCCCTAATAGCAAAACCATGAAGTTGACAAGATCTACTTTGGACACAATCCGCCTGGTACGGACCCAAAACAATACTAAGTACTGGAGTGAGTCGAACGGACAGACACTTAGCTATGACCTTGTAGTCACAGTTTAGAAGGGTGATGGGCCACCAGGCTCTCAGGTCAGTGCGTCTCGTCTCATACTTGCACAGGAGAGTGATCCGCCCCTCCCTTTGAGTTGCTGACAGAGTCCCTTCATAGAAAAGCCTGTTTGCCAAAGTGGTAAAAGGCCCCCCCAGTACCTTCCAAAACTTACGTAAAACTCCACTGTTAAACCATCCGAACCTGGGCTGCGATTATGGTTCATGGATTTAAGAGCTGCGAACATCGACGAGAGGAGTGTCACATATATCGAAATCCTCGTATAACCCTGAGTGAAAGGAAACGAAAATGGAGTGGGAGGCAGTTCGGTGTAAAGGTTTTTGTAGAACTGCCTTGCCACCTCTAATACTCCGTCCTGCGTTTCCACTAAACTGCCTGTGCTTGGATCGATCAAAGAGGTTATTGCTGAAGTCTTCCTAGTTAAATGTCTACGAAGAACATTTCGGCTACACCAAGCCTCCATTTCCCACTGCTCCGCGCGTGCTGTATCTCACAAGTGGTCCCAGCGTCGCTGGAGCAGGACTCTATAATCCTTGCGCATTGAAGTAAGAGCCTGCAATCACTCCCGGGCTGCCGGACAACGGCTTTGAGAGCAGGAGAATTGCGTCAGAGACCACTTTGATCTCGGCGCGTTCCTCCCGCGCCTTCCTCTTGCACCCACTCCCTGAAGCGCTCCGCAACAGATGCTTGCTCTAATTTTTCGCTAGCTCACGTGAGTTTAGGAAGTCGACGAGAACAAAGTGACATACACTCGCCGCTTCGCGTGCGCTCCGCTGCCGCATGCAGCAGACAGCTCGGGAGGCCCGGCAAATCGGAAGGTGCGATTTAGTCATGTGTGCTCACCGCACCAATAGGCTCACGGGACGGGGCTTTCTTGTTTTACACGGATTCACGGTATGCATACTGAGTGGATGAAAACAAGCACAGCGGCATATGAAAGAAAAAGGGTGGCTCTTTCGAATGCGACCAAGACGGCTGCTGTAGCAAGCCTAGAACGGCAACACTGTGGCACTGAAAAAGCCCGTTTTTCACGCGTCCATCGCCAAAAATTCAGCTCACTAATGTCGCAGAAACTACTCTCATAGCTAAACTAAGAATCTAGGAAACGTGAAAATTGACAAGATTATGCAGCGATAGTGGGAGAATCCAAATATAGCATTTTCAAAAAATCTTATTTTTTTGCGATTTTCAGTCTCAAAGAACCTTTCTCTCCTTAATTGGGTGCTTGTGCATCAGAATGCTTCAGGGCAATCATTTTCTTTGGCCAGGAATGAACAGCGGTGTCTCCGATCGGGCACGCTACTGTCTCTCGGCAACAGTGAGTAGTTACATGGCAAAGTTCGCTGCCATATTTTGCCTCCTTCCCATCTATATAATAGGAGCCAGAAGTAGGCAAGAAAAATTGGTCCTCACTTAGACTTACTCAAGAAATATAAACTGCGTCGAGGGCTCGCTTAGACTCAGACTCATGGCTTGACCTGAGCCTGAGTGAGTCGACTCACAAGTCTATTGGTGTAAAACTAGTTTTTACAATTATAGAGTTGATTATCCTTAATGCCAATTTCTCACATAATTGGTGCTTTACTCACAAAATATTTTAATCAAGAACTTCCTGTCAAAGAATTTGGGTGGAAAGTCATGGCACCACTTCCCTTATCTCCCACCTTGATCAATAAATGTTGAGGTGCCACACAAACGCTCGTGCGTTGATGCATGTATGAATAGGCTTGAGTAAAAACATAAGCTGATATAAGGCTGGCAGTTATTTTAAGGATCAGTAGATAAGAGGATAAGTTGACAATAAAAGGTGTAACTCACTCAGGCAGACTAATATTTTTCTAAAGTGAATTAGCTTGGACTTAAACTAAGCAAAATATTAATCCCTCAGCGTCACGGTTCCCCCATCAGAGTTTCAGTGAGTTGACTCATGTTTACCAATCTATGGGTAGGACCCGTGCTACCATAAAAAAAGAGTTTGCATTATTTTCTGATATAGTAAGTATAATTATGCAGTGATCTGAATCATGAGTGATATGAAGTTAATGCGAAGACTGTTGCGACTCAGCCCCTTTCCACGTGGACAGCTCATTTTGATATTCCTACTAAAATAATCACCAGCAGGGGTCGTAAATTTAGGTCGGAACTACGCTGCCAGCTCACCAACCTACTTCAAAGAATACTGCCATGACATGACCTACGGCCACAATGTGACAGCTTCATTGAGCAGTTCCGCCATCCAGTGAAACATTTACATTGTAGCTGACCCAACTCATAGTCCTCCTGGAGTTCTGCACAACTCTCAAAAACTCTTTCCGGCCCCATTTGCCCATGGCACCTCTCTATGTCTGCCTTAAACCCATCACTACGTCTGACCATCTGATGGAAGAAGATATAGCCAGGTACCATAATGAAAAGTGAAATGAGTGTTTCCTGGAAAGAAAAAACGACAAGAAAAAGCTCAGGATGACTGAAAACGAACAGACCATCTTATTAGTATAAATCTGTGGTTCTCAAATGGGGGTCCACAGACCCTAGGGGGTCTGCGAAGCCACTTCTATGATCTGCGAAACCCTCAACCGCTTTTTTTTTTTACATCCATTGGAGTTTAGTTCGATTGTGACTCAAGGTAAATACCGAAACAGGTTGAATGTGCCTGCAGATATGCAACTCTGCTTAAGCGCGACTGTGCTCCCTGTCAATGAACTGCCCAAAATGAAGTGATGCGGCACGTTTGTTTGATATTTTTGGTAGCAATAAAAGGCAACTGTTTCACCAGTTGTGTTGTTTACCAACGTACCCCCCCCCCCCCCTCCCATTTGCTGCATCACTTTCACCAGTCCACAAGAAGTCCCCGACACATTCATGGCTGAGAACTACTGGTATAAATACCTATGTAGCACCACACTCACCCGAGGATAACACCAAAAATGCCAAGTTCGCTGACCACGTTGCACTTGCTGGCCTCCTCAGTTGATCGTACAATGTAGTTGGTAGTGATGGGTGGCTGAATCAGGTCCATGAGAATGTAGCCTTCGCGCTCCTTAGTGCGGCCCAGTGCCTGCAGCTTGTTCCGCACGTCATCACCATACACGTTGTTACCTGCAGATACGCAGATGTGCACTCTGCTTGTACTTATCAAAGAGACAGAATAAGGCACATTCTGTCGCTGATGCTAAGGAATCTTTTTTTTTAGTGAAATAGAAAATAAACGAAGGAGTTTTTGTCACCATTACTTGGCGACGGCTACCCCTTTCCACTTAATTGGTACAAATAAAAATATGAAAAAAAAAAACAATAGCATATGTACATATATACAGTCCTACATGGGTGAGAGCAAAAGTTCTCCTATATAGGCAGAACAAACACGCAGACGACACGCTCACATTTAACTTTTGTCCGCTCAGTATTCGTCACAAATCTTCGTTTCTTCGAAGAACTGTTGCAGCACCTTCATTGCTTTGCTGTTTGTTTTGAAGGGCCATGGACCTAGTATTTTATTCAACCCGAATGGTCGCCCAGGATCTAACCTATGCAGTTCTTGTTCTAGTCGCCTTCGGTGTGTGTCGTGTTTTGGACAGCCAAGCAATACGTGACAGATATCCTCGTTGTCGTGGCCGCATGAACATGCTGATGATGTTGCAGGATGAATACGAAGTAGGAAGTGCTTTGTGTAAGCAGTTCCGAGTCGTAGGTGATGAATGAGTGTGTCGATACGTCTTGGGAGGTCATGGTCTGATTGGTATTCAAGATTAGGATCAACAGGATATAGGATCGATCCCTTTGTTTTGTCTGTGAACCAGTTAGACATGCATAATTCACGTGTTGTTGTTCTTAAAATTCTATTTACATCATATTGAGATACCGGAATGAGGCACGTTTGCGTAGAATCATGAGCGGTTTTCGCCAACTCATCCGCCATTTCATTTCCCTTAATTCCGCAGTGACTGGGAACCCACTGAAATGCCACTCAATGATTCGATTTCGTAGCTTCTGAGAGCTCTTTTAGTATAGCATATACTACACGCACATCAATGTGTCTTGAAGTTGCACTTTCCACACATGCCAGTGCTGCCAGGGAGTCTGTAATTACCACCCATTTTCTTGGTGTCGTTGACACTTTAATAAAGCTTATGGCTAGCGAAAATCGCTACGAGCTCTGAAGTTGTTGACGAAGAGAGGTGGCCCAATCGATATGCATATTCTTCGTGCAATTCCGGAATTTTGAATGCTGATGTCACTGTCTCTTTGGTGACGGAGCCGTCAGTGTACACGTGAGTGTATCCTTGGTACCTGTCAAACAATGATGTGATCTCAACTGCTGAGCGGCAACGGTTGGCACTTAATGTTTGATGCGAAGTCCTTCTATTGACGTTTCAATAGTTCGATGCTCAAGCAGCCATGGAAGATAGTTTTGGTCCAGTGGCCAATGTGTCGACACAGGAAGCCGGGAAATGTACTGCTGGTACACATGGTGTATTTGCGCTCCAGCACGGTTCACGATGTTGGATATGAGCGGATGGGAAGGGTGTTGCGTGACTAGACGAAAGAGGTGCCGACATGTCTCCACATTTCTAATTACTATAAGGTTAGGTTCTCTTGCCTCTGCCAGTGTCAAAGAACTTGATGTTGCCTGTGGAACCCCCAGACATATGCGTAAGCTTCGTGCTTGTAACAGCTGAAGTCGGGGTAGCGACGTCTGAGAGATGTTGTGGAGGACTGGTGCAGAGTAGGCAATTTTCTGTCGGATTAGTGCACAATGAACGTGGAGGAGAGACGCTGATGTACCACCCCATTTTGTTCCCGCTATGCGACGTATAACAATTATGGTGCAGTTCACTTGATTTTCTAGATCAGCAATATGCTGACTCCATCTGAGTTGGCTATCTAAGGTAACGCCAAGGAAGCGATGCTTTCGTGCGATTTCGATTCTCTGGCCATCCACAAAAAGCTTCAAGTTTTTCACTCTTTTTCTCGTGAATGGCAGAACTACAGATTTGGCGTGAGAAATCTGCATGCCTCGCTCTTTGAGGTAATCACTTATTGCGTCTAGTCCTTGTTGAAGCCGATGTTCCATCACTTCCAGTGATTTGTGAGACGTCCATATGCATATGTCGTCTGCATACATAGATATGTTCAAGGCTTCGGGCAGTACTTCTGGAAGACCTGCCATTGCATCATTGAAAAGAAGCGGACTTAGAACGCTTCCTTGGGGTACGCCTCTGTTCATGTTGAAGCGATCGCTGTCTCCATTATTGGTTGAAATGTATATTTGCCTGTTACGTAGGAAGTTGGCAATCCATTCAAGGATACGACTGTGAACCCCTAGTGAGGTAAGCCCGTGCAGCACAGAAAGGTGGCTCACAGAGTCGAACGCCTTCTTAATATCTATGAACGCCGCAACAGCCATGTTTCCACAGCTCGTCTCATGTTCTACAAATGTAACGGGGTCGAACACGCAGTCCATGGTGCATCGCCTTCGTCTGAAGCCAGCCATCTGTTCTGGAAGAGAGTTGTTATCTTCAATCCACCACTGTAATCTTCTGTGAACCATTTTTTCCATTACTTTAGATACACAGCTAGTGAGGCTGATTGGTTGGAATGAGTCAAGCGAAAGCGGTGATTTACCGGGCTTCAGTAGTGGGACGATTCTCGCGACCTTCCAACACATTGGAACGTACGCCTTCGTCTACATGTCGTTATATATCCGTAGAAGAACTGGCATGCCGTTGGATCCTAGATTTTTCAGAACACTGTACGATACGCTGTCAGGACCGATTGCCGTTCTTATGCTGGTTAGTGATAGAGCAGTACGCAACTATAGTAGAGAATACGTGTTATCCAGTTGAGCATGTGATAAAGTGTATGCATCTTGGATTTGCTGCTCTACAGAACAGGCAGTGCAGTAGTGTTGTGAACCAATTGTCCAGTTCCAGCCAGCATAGTGCAAAACTTATTAGAAACGTGATATCACGCTCGGATAATCCAAGAGATATGGCCAATGCTCTGAATGGGTTTCGCTGGGATACTGGATGACTTAGAGCAGTAATTGTTTGCCAGATTTTCGGAAGTGGAGTAAATGGGGTCAATGAATTACAGAAATCATGCCATTTTTTCCGACCTAACTTTTGCATGTGTCGGTTAGATTGGATAAGTGTGGCCTAACTCTTCTCATAATCTTCAAGCCTCCCAGTGCAGCGATAGCGACGTTCTGCTCGATTTCTAATAGCTCGTAGGCGCTCATAGTCTGCATCTACACTGGAGTGGCCTGCTGGGACAGCTGTAAACCTTGTCGCATGAGAGTAACTGCTTTTAATGCAGGACATAAATGTATCCAATTCATTGACTCCCACCAAGTCACGTCCAGTATGTTCACGAAATAGTTTCCAGTCAGTTAGGTTCGAAATCAAAGTGGTCAGTGCACTTGCATTGGAATCAACGTGATGACTTGTTCTGCACAAACTTCGACAGCCTTATGAGTGTTTCGATTAGCCGAAGGCTCCTTCTCTGAAGCCTTATATCATCCAGTAGATGTGATAGTGAAGAACCAAGCAGTGAAATCTACAGGATTGACTCATATATTGGGCAAGCTTCTGCCCAGAAAAAGAGACACTCAAGGTACTCGTGGTAAAACAACAACGGCAATCACTGTTGTTGGTCGTCAGCAGTATGATTGCTAATGAAATACAGCTTTTACAGAAGTATGATCATACAGCCCAGCATTATCCTTAAAATGAACTGCATCACATGCGCTACATGCGGAACTTCACAAGAACATCAAAATTTTTTTAAAAAGATTCTCCTCCATTCATGGATAGCCTGTGACTAGTATGGTCGATCCTGAATATTTTGAACTCTAAAAGGATCATGAAGTAGTTCGATATATTGATAACTTGAGATGCAAAATATCCAAAATTATGGCTTACATTAAGGGGAGATGCTACTCAAAGACACTTTTTCTTTATATTCACCCCAGAGGAATGAAACTTGAGCTGTTTATGGAACTCTTTATGCTGATTTCAAATATTTAATTAGTTTTCTTGCAAGTTACACACTTTTAGCTCTGCAACATGACAAAGTGAAAACCTTAACCCTTTTGCTCCCCCTCTTTTCATCCCTAAAATCCTGTAAGTTTTTACCATTCATAATTCATAATGCTTCAAATAAGGTCTAGAATGCAAATAACTAATTAGAAAGCACATACAAAATATGTGATACGCGTGAAAAATAATAGACGTAAAAAATATATATTTCACCTGCCCTAGTAAAGGTATACATATAATTTTTTTATTATACATTAAAATATGGAAATTTAAACTAGATAATTACATTTGTCATACTTTGGAAAAAATTTGGGCAAAATTTCCCGCAGATCCGAGCACTAGAAATGTCCGAAAAAGGAGGGGCACATTGGAAGAAATGGCAAAATTTGTGTTTTGAAAAAAAAAAAAAAAAACGAGTTTTAAAGTTAAAATTGAGTTTTTATTTATGAAAGATAATATTAAATCAGATGAAATTTGCACACTAAAAAGAACAATCCTTCTCGTAGTGGCCACTGCGACTAAAATACCCCAGCACCATGAGTTTGTCCCTCTCGGCGTTTTCAAGCCGACTCCTCACAGACATTTCGCTCAAAGACGGGGCCATGAAACGCTTGCCAAACTTCTGCTCCATCTGGCAGCGCCTTGTGCCAACTGCAAGCCAGGAAGAAGTTTGACAGGACTGCGAAATCCAAACTAAGTCCAGTGTCATGCCATTTTACAGCTATGTTTGTGCCGCATACCGTCGCACATAATGGAAATGTCGTCCCTGCTAAGTACTCTCACTGCGAGCTCTTTCGACCTCTTAAGATTGGTGCTGACGTCATCCATCGCCGCATCACGAACTTTCCGGCTGACGGTGGTGAATGACTCTGATGCATTGGCTTTTGCAAGCCAAGAACTGCCACAAATCGGACCAGCTGCTCGTAGTCTATTCCTAGAGAGCGCGCCGCACAACGACTTTCACTTGCGAGCAATGCCTTTTTTTATTCATAACAGAGATAATTACATGAGAAAAGCATTGTTCATCTGCGCTGCTCGACAAGACATGGACCCTGCAAA